CCCCCCCGCCCTTTTGTCCCTTTTGCTCCCTCCCCAGGGCTCCTGACTCTTTTTCATCCCTTTCTACTGCTACTCCTTGGCTCTTTTATGCTGCTGTCTTTCAGCCACACTCCTGATATTAGGGTAAGTAAGGTCGAACACCCAGCCTTCTCGGATGAGGGCAAAATAATTCCGGCGGTCCCGTGAGCAAGTTGCGCACGTAAAAGATCCAAAGCCGGCCCTCAAGTCGATAACAGAAGACTTCGGCCGCCACTCGGGCAAAATTCAAAATTAATTTTCCAACCAAACCGAAAATGCTTAATGTGTCCAGCGTTCTCATAATATGATCGTATGCCGTTGCGAGCGCCGCAAAACATTTACAAAAAAAAACAAGCAACATCAGCCATCTCTCTACAGGACCGCAAAAAGAAGAAGTGGGGTGCCCGCATCCTCGAGAACAGCGGAAACTCCCTGAAAATAGGCGTCTACGCACCGCCTAACACCATCATCGGCGAGTGGGAGTACACCATCAGGACCATCAAGGGGAAGAAGACGGAGGAGTATGAGTTTGAAGGCACCAATGACGTCATCATACTGCTCAACCCTTGGTGTGATGGTAAGCGTTGGAGAAGAGGAAGCTGCTCTTAGATTTTTTACATGTTTTTGATAGCTTTCGTTTCATTACATCTTTCTTTTCTATTCTTTTTCCTTTTTTTTCGCAATGTTTTTCTATTGTCTTTCTTTATTTCGTTCTTTCTCTCTTTCTTTCTTTCTGTTTATTTTCTTCCTATTTTCCCCCTTCATTATTTCTTTCATGTGATGTGACTGTTAGGCTCCCCCCCCCCCTTTTTTTTCACACAAAGAAAGCAGCTTTTCGTTTGGCGAATCTTTTGGTAGAAGGTCTCAATCTTTCTTATAGGATGTTCCCACTCAGCCCTGATTGGTCTTTGCCGGATATAGTTGGAGGAGCCTGCAGACCGGAGCTATCTATACTCATATCGGGTCAATGTGGCTTGAAAAGACTGCATTAATAGATCAATTATATTTTTGTGCTTTCGTCTTCTCACATCAAATTACAACCCCCC